AAAGGCTCCATACCAGAGTTACAATGTAACACACAAAGTTCCCACACTCTCAAAATACAACAATGATGTGCTATAAATCAAGGTTACAACGTAACATTACTAGTTCCAAAGTTCTCAACATGACAAATTTATATAACAGATCAACTGGAAGTTATGCAGCAACGTGTATCCTAACCATGTAAACATGTTTCCGTCCTCTTTCAAAGCCACATCTCCCTTCTGTTGTGGAGATCAAAATTCAAGTCGGAATCAATGCTCTAGAAAATCTCTTCCAACCAGTAGCCTCCCAGGTATCTAGTACTTCAGTGCAGCATATCAGCCCTTCTCATATGAATTTTGATCTCCACAATGAGAACCAATCTATACAGAATGGAGGGAACCACCCTGGCTCTGCCCAGGTATCCCGATGGAGCCAGCTTTGCTTTCTGAAGGACAGGCTATTACTAGGAGTACTTTCTACCATTTATATCTGACACTAAACATCTCTTCCTCTCTTGAATCCATTGTCCTAGCCACAGTAATCCATGTTTCTGTAACCCCAACACTGAAATACTGTACTGTGCTCTACATGAAATTGTCCTTGAAAATTCAGAAACTATAGCTGGTGCAAAATACATCTATTCACCTCTTGGGTAGGGTGGGGCATCAGATACATATTACTCCAACTTTGCAACAGTTTCATTGGCTGCCTGTTTCTCTCCAGGAGAAATTCAAGGTGCTGGTCAATCTTTAAATCCTTCATGACCTGGGACTCACATATTTGAAGAGCTGCTTCAAATGGTGGAAAAACACTCCCACCATCTCACATCTGGTCAATGCTTCCTACTTTCAAGAGATGTACTTGGCCTCCACAGAACTGATTGCCCTTTTGGGGGTCTCATCCACTCTCTGGAATGGCCTGCCAGGAGGCACATGGAGCTTCTTCTGTAGCCAAGTTCAGAAAGTTATCTATAGCAGCCTTATTTTGCCAGGTCTTTTGCAAAGTTATTTTCTACTGCACCTCTGTGCAGTTTGATTTTCACAATTTTTGGTTGATTAATTAATTGACTTGGTTATTGGTTTTGTGAGAACATTCAGATTCTTTTCGAGTCACTGGTGGGTTGAGGGTTGTTTGGTTTGTTATGCTATTTTATTGTTGATTTTTTTTGTTATTCAATTCATGCAGAGAAGCAAGATACAAATTTTACACAAACAAATAAATACAGGGGGAACATTAAATGTATTACCCATGTGGTCAAGATATTAAAGCAGTCACCTTAATATCTGGACATCACTCACTCAGCAATCAAGAACATACGATTAGCCAATTATGTATACACTGAAGAAGTACATGAACTATTTTTACAGCTAGAACTCATATATTCAATGTACATAAAGTTTCTTTTCCCACTTCAACAAATGCTCACACAAATCAGGAGAACAATTTTAATGGTGAAACCACCTAGTATTGGAAAGCTTTTTTATAAAAGCCCCTCTACATTCCCATGCTACCTTTCCCTTTGAAACTGGAGTCCCAGAAGCTGCATTTGGTTTAGTTAAAAAAGCCATTAAAAGGATCATGGATCTACATGTGATGCACAGTTCTGCACAGCAGTTCTAGAACAGAGGAACTGGAACTTCTGATCCTTTGTTTTTTTAGATGGGATATTACGGTTTCAAGGAAATGGTGAAAATTCCTATACACTTCCTATGCATAAGGTTGTAAAGTGTGCTTAAAGGTGCAATAAATTTCTACAGTGAGGTTGTTGGCAAAAAGGAAACAATAAACTTTGGCATTATTTCATGTGTAATTAAAATCAGGAATAGGGTCGCATTTCCATTATTACTTTTAAAAATAAATGGAAGGCATATATCACAGTATATATTATGAAGTAATAATCTTTACTTCAGGAGAAAGAAAATTCTGATACAAGTAAAGTGACATTTTCCTGCTTCTTCTGTTTGTGTTCAGAAAGGTGAAAAGCAACAGTAAAAAAAACACACAAGCAAATAGTACCATTCAGAGTATGTATTTTTAAGGCAGTTTTCTAGGATAAAATATAGCAACACTGCATTTCATTACTAGGTTAACAGAAGCCCACAGGGAAAGCAAGCATCAAGGTATAATGCTACAAACATTTTCTTGGGACTAGGCCCCATTGAACTCAGTGGCTCTCAAGAAAGTATACATTAAGATCAAGTGGCACACACAAGAGCAAATGAAATGCTAAAAAGCACAAAGAAGCATGCCTGCTCACAAGACTATCCCTAAAACACACAAAAAAAAGAAATTTAGATAGTTGTAAAACTAATGAAACTGCATCTTCTTCTGATTTCAAGTAGAACAAAGAAGAGCAAAGTTTTTAATTTCTTGTACTGGAATGCGTCATGGAAATATAACAGCTGAAAAAGTCAATCAATAGATCCTCTAACACTTGATGTAGCCTCCCAATTTACCAACAAGTAACTGGTTCCATGACTGAAGTTGATCAGCTACCAGTAATGGATATTGAGGCATAATATAACCTAAGCTGAAGTCCTAACTACTAATTAAGCCTGCCCAGTGGGGAGGGCAGGATATTGTTAGTAGTGCCTTGTGCACTAGTTAAAAGCTGGGAATCATCCACTGCTATAGGCACTGATTCTAAAAAAAACACTGGAAATGTAAGTCTTGTTATGATGTCTGTTTTTCCCATTTCCATGTACCAAAGGCACTTTGGGAAACTTGAAAATAACAGGCACTACACACTAATATAAAGGCTAGGGATATCACTGAGAAACAAACTCATCACAGCCTTCACCATCAAGCCTTCATCACAGCCCAGTAGCTCTTAAAAATCCAGTGGGTTGAAGTTCTTTTGTCCAGTGTCCTTTGGCTAGAAACTCATATGTAGGTGGATAATATGGCACGCCAAAGAAAGCAAGTTATTTTAACGGTGATAGACTGTGAGACCTTCTCTCACAAATTCCATTACAACAAACTCCTCTCACTGTAACTCTCTCTCTCACTGAATGCTACCCAAGAGGATGGCAGCCAACTAGCCTGTCAGAAGGGGCTCCAAATTTGTTTATGGTGTTGCTTCATACAGCCCCAATCCTCCTTTTATTGCTACTATAATTTATCTCACACCATGGTTGTTCAGGCCACTTTACAATCCAATAATTTTTTTTAAAAAAAACAACAACCATAGTATGTGGCTTTCAAGCTTAATAAAGACAAAATAAAAAAGGCAACAGCTTGCCAATAAAAGGTCTGGTGTCGGACTCGACTGTGCGACTGAACAACAACAACTCCTACAGTAAGGGTGTCATTGTCTTCAGGAGAGACTCTGTGCCTCTGACAGCTGCACAACAGGCAGAAATGCAACAGGTGTAGAAAGTGTGGCATAGTGACTAGGATCTGGGGGACTGAAGTTAAGAACTCCATTTTGCCCTGAGGCTTGCTAGGTGACTCTGCGCCAGTAGCTCTCCCTCAGCCTAACCAACCTCAAAGGGTTGTTGGTGCCAGGATAGAACAGAGGAGGGGAGAATCCACTCTGGGTCCCCACTGGGGGAAAGGTGGATTATAAATAATTGCTGTAATGGAAATATATCCCCCTCACTGTGTTTGCACAAGACTATGACCATTGAATTTCTGCCTGCCGAGCAGCTGCAAAGTCACATCTCTTGCAGGAAAAAGCAGTAGGAGGGAACCTTGTATTTGAAAAGTCTTGACTGAAGACTGCTCCTTGGCTCTGCCCCATAGTCTGTGCCAATCACAGCAGTTTGAACACTCCATAGTTTAGGTTCCTCTTCCCCACTAGAGCAGAAGATCTTTCAGTCTTTGAAAGAGGGATATTTTCCTTTCTTGCCCATACAGAAATCCCTATAGGTATCAGTGGAAGAACAATGCTAACCTGCATTTCCTTTAGGGGAAGAGAGGAAGTCAGTATGGTACTTCATGAACCTGCTGTCCTGCAAGTTGGAATACGCAAACCTTACTGCCTCCAGAACAAGGGGTGCATGTTTATAGACACTGCTCATATTTTAACTGTTCAAGCAAAAGTTGCTTGTGCCTCTCCCAGTCCCACCTCTACATGCAACAACCCAATTAGATGCAAGAGCACATTTGCAAGGATATCGTTTTGTACCAGATTAATTAAAAAGAGACCACTGCCAGCTACATAAATTCAAAGTCACCAAAACAGATTAGGATCACCGTGCCACTCAGAAGAGTGGCAAGCAATGCTCCCTCTAAGCTGTGGAGTCTTGTGAGCAAAAATTCTACTTTGTGAGCTACTGGCATTAAAGTTGTGAGTGAGCAATTTGGCTACTGCATAAATTAAGTTTGCTCTGGAGCCATCCTTCCTGAGCTAAGACAAAACGCTGTGAGCCAGAGGCTAAAAATCTACGCTAGCTCACACTTACTCAGTTTAGATGGAACACTGGTGGTAAACTATGTGTTCTGGAGAGCTCACCCCAGAGTATAAGAAACTATGAATGGAGAAGTAGGTTAAGATGCAACTGATCCATACTAAGTAGTGCATTGATTCCCCCCCCCCCTTTCTGTAGGCTTCCCGTACCCCGAGATTACTCAGCGGGCTACCCTGACTTGCTTGCTACGATGTGCATAACCGTCTTCCCTCTGCGACCCACTTTCCGATCTTCCAGATTAGGGAGAGCAGCAGGTTGTAGGGAACTAATGAGCTGCTTGCCCATAAGAATAGCATGCAATCAGACCATGAAAAGCTTTCGCAAAAGAGTCTATGCTATTCTTACATACAAGAGCAACATATTGATGCAGGAATTGATGGAGAAATAACCTGCTCATTCTCGAGCACACTTCCACACGACAACCCCCCCCCCCGTGGACCGCCGCCGTACCCCACTCCCGGGGCCAGAGGCACCCTCCCACGCCTTAAAAGCATCTCCCGCCTAGGCAGTTTTGCACGCGCGCGCGCACACACACGCACTCGTGCAACCGCCTGGCGGCGGGCGTGCAAGTACTCCACGCGGCTGCCTAAAGGGCAGCGACCGCTTACCTAGTCCCGGCACGAAGGTGTTGAGGAATAAACAGATAACAGCCACGGGGAACGGCATGTAGGGAATAGCCGCCCGCAGGGGCCCCTTCTTCTCTCGAACTTGCACCACTACTCCGCCGGAGGAAGAGGCGGCGCCCCGACCAGCGTCCCCGGTCGCTGCTCCGGCCGAGTCCCCTTCCTTAGGACCGTGGTCCATGCCGCCTGTTGAAGCGGTCTTGCCACGAGGAGAGGGCACGAGGCAACCGCGTCCCAAAGGCGCTTTGGTCGGGGGAGCCGCCGGGGCGAGAGTCCGACTCTACCAAAGCGGGCGCCCGGTCTGTGCCTTTGGAGTGGAAAGAGCGCGAGGCACTGAACGGAACACGCGCCCAGGCTTAAAGAGGCAGAGCAGCGCCCTCTCTCCGGGTCTTTCTCTCACACGCTCCCTCCCGCGCGCTATCCGAGTTATTCGGGCCACGCGAACACGGGCGCGCGCCTGGCTCTGCCTGGCTGCCCTTCCCGCCGAGAAGCGCGCGAAGCCTCGTGCGCCCACGGCCTCCTTTCCCGCTTCTTCAGCGTCTCAGGCAGTTTCTCTTCCTCTCTCAGTTATGCACATAAGTTTGCCCGGTCGACTGTTCGTTGCAACCCTCAAGCAGAAATGCAGCACGAGAAGCTTTTTTTAATTATTATTATCAGGGGTCTTGTTGTAGAAAAAGAGCTGCGGGAGCTCATTAGCATAACTCATTAGCATAACTTATTTGCATATGCCACGCCCCCTGACATCACCGGAAGTGACAGAAGGCCACACCCCCTGACATCACCGGAAGTGTGTCAGAAGGCCCGGCTACTTACCCTCCTGCTTCATCCTCATTCCCAAACGGAATGAGGATTGAAGCAGAGGGCGGGGTAAAGAAGGGGGTGGGGCTTCACCACGTGACCGCCCCGCCCCCTAGAGGTTCTCTTCCGGAGCTCCGTACCTGAGAGCTCCCCCCCCACTAGAGCCCTGATTATTATTATTTTTACGATGCCCGGAAAAGCAACGCCTGAGGCTCTACTACTGCCAGTTTGAAGGCACTAAAAAGCTCCCCTCCCCGGCCCGGTACGTGATAAAGTGTACGGTATGTATTAATAGTCAACTGGAATTTAAACTAACCCAGACTTCCAAAATGACCAACTGCATTGTGGGAACCACAAATTCAAAAGATGTCATACTTCACATCATTAAAAATATGGTACTGATGCCTCCAAGATGCTGCATGAGCGTGTATGCTGCTGTACGGTACACGCAATGGATGCATAGCTGCATTTGTTATCGCCTTGGACATACCATTCTCACACTGAAGCTGCAGTCAGCTTCTAATGAAACCGTCTGTCATTAAAATGGGAGTTTCAGCAACAGCAGGACAATGTTGCTTCTGAGATGGCACTCAGCAATTTCACATGCATACATTTCACTATTTCCAATGTACCTAAATATTTACTCTCCAGCACATATACTTTCCCAGCCACGGGTGCATTCTGGAGCACATACCCTATGCGTAGAGATGTATTCAGAGAAAAGATTCACATAGGGTAAGACTAATACCAGAGCTCTCGTGACCTATTTATAAAGAGAGGCATACTTCTGACATTTAGCATTTCCTGCTTTTTAGAAATAAATTGCAGCTTCCAAGATATAGTCATGTCATTACATAATAACAGCACCAACAAGCTATACACAAGATAGCTTTGGGCAATCTGACTGAGATATTAGTTACGGATCAATGCAGATGGCAGAGCTCGCAAAAAGGAAGCTGCATAATAAGTCCTTACACAACCTGATGCTTTCCTTTTTGTGGGCACCACTTCCTGTACTTCTGGTTTAGCCCTGGCACCACAAGGAGCTTCTTAATGTTTCCACAGGGAAATACTTCTCCTCCATGTCTGTAGACTAACAGTGCCATGCTAAGAAGAGTTACCCCCCCCCCCCCCCCCCCCCGTTTAGAAAGGTATAACTGCTTAGGATGGACTAGTTAAAGTACTGCAGTGCATAAGGCTAGCAGAGAGACACCAGAGGTCACAGCAGGATTTGAAGGAGTATGTAACAGTGTTAGCTAAAATGTCCCTCAAAGAGATAATTTGGTCTGGTGTAGCGTTGGTTTTTTGCTGTTATGCATTACAGTACAATTCTGCTAGTTTAGGCCTACCTACGCTTTATCATACAATTTCTCTTGGTAGTCTCCCACACAACCACTCATTTCATTGCCTGTATACACCCACAAGAAATCTCTCAAGCCTGTTGCACACAAAGTAAATTTGCTGTACAGATCCAGATAGGAGACTGTTTGCATTGTACATCTACACCACCATGTGCAACTAGTATACCTATGTCAAATTTACCTGCCAACCAGGGCTTCCAGCTGCATATGGAGGTTAGATGGCGACCATTTAGTATACAAACAATTTCCTACAATTAACTGGTACCTGTGGGAAATTTTAGCTGTGTGAATCATCTCCATTGATACATTAATATTTCTCATGTATTGCTTGCCCCTTACTGTCAAGGCATGTGTGCCAAGCTTGATTTTACTCTTTAGATCCCTACAAATCACTTCATCTATTTTAGCTCAAAGCAAAATATTTTTACTGAGAAGTTCATACTTGCCTTCACATTGACATGCAGACAAGAACTCAAGCAAGGGTATTTTTATTCAGCGTTAAATTCTAAAGATAAATATTGTTTAATAAATGTATGAATGGCAGCAATAATACATAGTGACTCTTTCATATGGATGTGTGCTCCACACTATCTTATGCAAAGGAACACCTGGGAAAGAAAGAGAAAGAGCAAGACAGGATAGCAAGATATTTTATGTGATTACATTATTTTTGTGAAAATTGATTACAAAGCTGTAAAGCAGCTAATACTAACAAAAACTTATACATGGGTTTGATTTGTAGATTAAACCTGTGGAAGCATGGCCCTGACCTGGGTAGCCCAGGCAAGCCTGATCTCGTCAGATTGTGAAAGCTAAGCAGGGTTGACTCTGGCAAGTACTTGGATGGGAGACCTCCTTGGAATACCAGCAGTCGGGGGCAGGCTTTATTCAGCCACCTCTCTGAATATCCTCCAGGCCCCCAGTAGGGGTCAGTTACCAGAGGCCGCCATGACTCCCAGGTGCACACACAGTCAGCAGAGGTCGCCATGACTTCCAGGCGCATGTACACGTGGACACACACACACACACACACACACACCTGCACACTGTAAAAAAACACACTGGAAGCATGCACTGTCAGTTTACTAAATGTGCCTTCATTGTGTTCCCTAATCGCTTAGTTCCTAACACCCTGAAATATCATTTATTAGTATCATAAGATGTAAAACTCTTCCTACAGGGTATTTGGAATCCACCACACAAAGTGGGGAATAGAATGTTAATAGAACTTGAAGGTTGTTTGTTGATAGAAATGGCAATATCTGTGGTCACTGCAAATGGGCCTGAATTTTTAAATAGTTAATGGAAATATTACGAACATATTCATCAGAGAAGTGTAAATAGACAAATAGACAGAGAGGCTGAGAGAGAGCATGGTATAGTGGCTAGAGTGTCAAACTAGGATCTGGGAGATCCAGGTTCAAATCCCCATTCTGCCATGCACGTTTGCTGGGTGACCCTGGGCCGTTCAGTCTCTCTGTGCCTAATCTTTCTCATGGTGTTGTTACAAGGATAAAATGGAGGATAGGAGAATAGTGTTGAAAGCTGCTTTGGGTCCCCACTGGGGAGAATAGTGGACTATAATGATCTAAAATGCTATTAATAAAATAATTAAAGTTGTACTTTGGTAGCAGCATAAATATAAACCCTCTATTAAAACCAAGGCATAGTTTGGATTAAAATTATCTGCCATGAATTCATTTCAACCACTGCAGTGGTTTAAAGGATATGAGCAGCTTCACAGAAGACTTTATTCTTAAATTACTTTTGATATGATAAACTTGCCATAAATTGATTTTACTAGGAATTTCTACATTGCCCTGGCATGTAGCCTCTACGTTCAGTGGACAGCAGAATCATGTCTCAGATATGCACATGCTCTTCCTACCAAATGACAGCGAAGAATGTGCATCTTATCAGGTATACTCATGGATGCATCCTTACCTACATGGACCTAGTCAGGCAATTCATACATCCTTGTTGTGGCAGGTGAATTCTGTGGACAGTCAATTACTTCCACGCCAACTCTCATGACCTGTTTCATAGTGACAGAAGGGGCTAGAAAATCTCAAATCAAAATATTTAGACTGCAGTAACTCTGCATAGGATTGCACTAAGTCTTGCTTCTTCGCACCACCCTATCTAAAATCCACATGACCAGTTAGTGTGTGACTGTACCCAGGGCTCTTCTTGTAGAAAAAGCCCAGCAGGAACTCATTAGCATAATAGGCCACACCCAACAGCAGGAACTCATTAGCATATTGGGCCACACCCCTGACAGCACAGCTTATTAGCACATTAGGCCACACCCCCATGTTACCAGAAGTGTGGTTATCCAGCCACACCCACCTTTTGCTGTTTATTCTCTTTACCTTGTTTGTTGTCAAAACCCACGGCTTTTTTTTGTAGCAGGAACTCCTTTGCATGTTAGGCCACACCCCCCTAATGTAGCCAATCCTAATGAGTTTCTGCTGTTGGGTGTGGCCTATTATGCTAATGAGTTCCTGCTGGGCGTGGCCAACTTGGGAGCCAGCCGGAACTCCGTTCCTGTGCGTTCCTGCCCAAAAATAGCCCTGACTGTACCCCTAGTCACTTTCTGTAGGGGATAACGATTCAAAGCTGATATTCAGGGGCGAATGCTTGAAAACTAGATATATCAGCCTATTTTACATGAAGGCTTTTTCTTGTCCAGAAATCTTTATATTTATCTATAATTCAGCCAGCTGTTCTATTGGAATCATATTAAATTTTAAGCTTTAAAACAGGAGTGTCAAAACTACAGCCCACAGGCTGGAATTGGCGCCCAGGCCTTTAATCCAGCCCTGGAGTGGGGATCTCTCCTCTCCCCCCTCCCCTGCCCACTGTTCTGAGTTTGAGCTGCCTTGGAGTATAGAGAGCAGAGGGTGGGGCTGCTTCTGAGAGCAGGAAGCAGAGGGTGGGGCTACCTCTGAGCAGAGAGTACTGGGTGGGTATGTCTCTGAGAATGGGAAGCAGAGGGTGGGGCTGCCAAAAGTCCCAGCTACCGCTCCTGGCCTCTAGTCCTCCTCACAGGTAGGAGCGGTGTGTGTGTGTGCCGTGCTGTGATCCTTGTGCTTCTTTTTTATTTAAAAAATTGCTTTGCAAAATCCAAGTAT